GAGAGAGGAGCAGGACTGAGGGAAGCGCTGCACTGTGGGAGGAGCAGTACTGAGGGAGCGCTGCACTTTAGATGGAATAGTGTGAGAAAATTTGAACCACTGTTGTTTATGCTATTCAAATGAAATATTAAATCAAGATCCTCTCTGCCCTTTGGATGAATTTAACAGCTATCACAGCCACTAATTGAAAGGAGGGCAGAAGATTTTGTACCTGTATTCTTGCCAATATTTATCACTCAATCAATGTCACAAGGATGACGCCAGGGCTGGAGGGTTTGAGTTATAGGGAGAGGCTGTAAAGGCTAAGGTTATTTTCCCTGGAGTGTTGGAGGCTGAGGGGTGACCCTGCAGAGGTTTACAAAATCATGAGGGGCATGGATAGGGTGAATAGACAAGGTCTTTTCCCCACGGTGGTCGAGTCCAAAACTAGACAGCATAGGTTTAAAGTGAGAGGGGAAAGATTTAAAAGGGACCTAAGGGGCAATGTTTTCATGCTGAGGGTGGTGAGTGTAAGGAATGAGCTGCCAGAGGAAGCGGTGGAGGCTGGTACAATTATGTCATTTAAAAGGCATCTGGATGGATGAAAAGGAAGGGTTTAAAGGGATATGGGCCAAATGCTGGCAAATGAGACTGGGTATATTTAAGATATCTGGTGGGCATGGACGTGTGGACTGAAGGGTCTGTTTCCATGCTGTACATCTCTATGACTATGGAAACACTATCAAATCTAGCAACTTTGGGACTGAGGCCATCTCTGACTTTAGGCAGGGTCCTTTGGGTCAATTGTCTCTTGGAGTTGGTTCTTTGCAGCTGGTTTTGACAGAGTATATCTGTAAAAGCTGATTGGTCATTTATCTCATTTCTTACGCAAACTTGTTGCTGTGTTTCCTACATTGGCAAGTGACTATGACTAAAACTCAAAACTACATCACTGACTGTAAAGCACTTTGAAATGTCCTGAGGTAGTGACAGGTGCCACAGAAATGTAGGCCTTTCTTTTGTTCAATTTCAATTCTGTTTCTTCTTAGCAGGTCAACAGTCAGCTAGCAAAAAATTTGTGAAACAGAGTTCACTGATTCATGATTCAGCTGAAAACAGAAAGACTGACACTGTGCTGAGGACAGACACATGAAAACCAAGGGGGCATCTGGTTACTGGTGGGGATGGGATGATATAAATAAATTGAAGCATCAGTCTGTCTTTTGATCCTGAAATCATAGGGTAGTCAAGACATGGCACTCTCTCCTCAGTAAAGTAATTAATTAACTTCAACTGAAAATGTTAAGACTGAATGGATCGATCCAAGTTGGGCAAGAGTAACAAGGAATCTTCCTCAATGTAACAAAGTGGGACAGGAGGGTTGAAATTGCATCAAAGATGTTGGGGGATGTTGGAATGCAACTCAAATTAAATTTAGGACCTTGGCTGCACCAAATTACCATTGGCCAATTTTAACCCATTTATAAACAGCTTTAACAGTGACGTTACATATTTGTTAACTAAACAAATATCAAGTCATGACTGAATCTCCGGTTACGATTACACAGTTTAGTGACTCTTTAGGTGAAGTCCGATACAAAAAAACTCTTCATGGCTGTCGATGGTTTGGAATTGAGAGCTCACCCATGACTTTAGGAATGAGGTGTGGAGGGTAACTTACAGGAGAACAAATTCATCAGGAAAGAAGAGAAAGAGACAGAGTGTACTTTACAAAGCATCTATTTTAATTTATTATACGCTTACAGGCTTGGGTTTCATAAATAACTCTTTACACATTCCATCATGTGCAAAATACAGGGCTGATTGTGAAACTTATAAAAAAAAATACACTTTTCTTAAAAAAATGTATTCACAAACATTTGCCTTAATTGCATTCTGTTATGAAATAGGAACCCTTCTGTTAAACCTTTTTCAGATGAATTGGGATTAAAATATCCTTTGATTCTCATCCTTTAAAGGTATGAGGAGTCTGTAACAGAAGACATAGGAAAATATATAGTGCACTGGCTTGAAAGTGGAAATAAGTTTAATTGTAAATCAAGATGAGCATTTTGCATATCATGCAATAAAGGGGTTGACTACTGTTATTAAAAGGGATGCAATGGGATAATGCAAGCTCATTTAGTCAGTTAGTACACACTGTGCTTCTGCTGCTAAAATGTTCCTCATCGCTGAACCCAATAAAATCAAACAGGGTCTTTTCCCAGGTACAGATGGGGCTTTGGTACATTCATTTCGCTCAGGAAGATATTTATCACAGGGTTGACTGTAATTAAATTAGGAAGAGTCACAGATCACTGAAATCACGCTGTCTGGAGGAAGGTGAGTCAAAGATGGTTAGCACGAGTGCGTCCGACGTGGACGTCTGAAATTCCTTACTCCAGTAATCAGTGGAGGGAGCTAACTAAGCATATTTGCAATTAAAACAAGGAGTTTCATACAATGCTTGTATGGTTAACTATCACATGGTGGAGTTTCATCTGTTTTATTAAATTTAAAGCGCTGCCCAGAAGCAACAAGGTACATTTAGGAGGCAAAAAACAACGAACTTCCACGCCCCACCCCCTACCATTTTATTGTATTTTCCTCAAATTCAGAATGCAAATCTTGGGTAAAGTATTTTTTGTTTCAATTTTTCTTCAAATTTAGAAAATAAACTTTTTTTTTAAACAATTTTTCTTCTGATTTAGAACATAGAGCTTGTTTTAATCCTGCATTTCTATCGTAATGTAGTGAAATTAAAAGAATGTTGCAGCTAAGCATTGTTACTATTAAAAGATATACAAGTTAAGTCTTGCATCTGATTAGTATTTTACATGCTTCTGAAAGAAGATGGTAGACTCCCTTGATTTTTTTTAAAGAAAATTAAAGTCTATTGAAAAGATTTATTAAATTTTATGGACAGGGTGGTAACAGGAATTTGTAATTGGCTTTTGCATCCAACGGCAAACTGTAATTTGGCCAATTATTCCCAAAGTCTTCTTTTTATTTTTGAAACTTCAAAAAGGGCTGGAAGTTATTCATTTTGTTTTTGGTTAAGGCCACAATTACTAAATGTCAAGAGGTTAGAGAGTAAAGAAAAAGACTGTCAGACTCATGGATTGGCTGGTGGCACAGGGTACAATGAGTTATGCAGGTTTGATGAAAAGTCCACAAACATGGCCAATGACCAACAACAAGAAGCAAATCTACTCAGAACCTTGCAGCATGGAGGGAGATGCAACAAGTTGCAAGCAATAGGAGATGGCAGGCAAAGAAAGCAAAAGAGAATGGGATTGTAAAACACAGTACAATCTCAATTAGTCTTAGTAAACAGGAGGGCACTGATAATAGAACACATCTCGTCTCTCGTGATCATACAGTCTTTAAAAACATATCTACTGCAGATCCAGTCAGTGCAAATTCTGATTGCGATCTGTAACCAAAAATTCCAGATACATGTTGATCCTATTCTGATTCCCACCAAGGGGTCCCAACTTCTCATTGCCTACCCTATAGCAACAAGAGGGATTCCAGGCAGCTCAACCCACAGTTTGAATGGATCAAGTTCACGACTGTGAGATTTTGGTTTGCTTTGTGTGTTGGCTGAGTAGTCCTTTCACACAACATTCCAGCAATCAAATACTGATCAAGTGTTCTACTGGCAGACTCTGCAAAAACAACTTGTAACAACAATTTAAAAATGATTGCACAGACCTCTAGGGTTTGATCAGTTAAAAGGCATCCACAGCATCAGGCGCAAGGAACACGTCATAACAGTTGATTGAAATAAAGCTACACAGCAATATTAAAATCATTCACAAGTGTCACATTGTTTACCAACAAAATAGAAGTTATTTGCTGCATTTGCACTTGACAAGAAGTGGATTCATGTTGCAGCTGAAGCTGCAGCTGTAACTTAAACTAAACTAAAATCTAGGGTCAGGAATGACCCTCCAGACATTCTAGCTGGATGGAAAAGGAGTCTCAATCTAACTCACTCCGACTCCCAGCCAGTCCCCAAATCCAGCGTGGCTTTCCACCACTTTAGCACGAATCTGGGCGAAAATTGCTTCACACCAACAGTATGCTTGCAATGTAAACACACATCAATAAATCTTTGTAACCTGTAGCTAATATCGAACATCATTAAAATGTCAAGTATTTGTATAATGCGCCAGTTGGACTATTTGCCAATTCTAAAACCTTAATCTAATTGCACTGTAACTTGTACTAGTTTTGGTGATGATAACCGCCTAAATAGGTAAACTGATATTGTTCATTAGAGGTACTTTCACTTCTCTTACTGGTTAGAATAGTAAACAATGAGGAAATTTATAGTCATTCAATTTTTTTTTCTGGTTTTACATTTCAGTCATGGAATAAAAAAATGTCTTTACATCCTTCTCTACAAAGGCGCCTAATGTAAAAATGTAAACAATTTAATGATGAACAATATCAATTTGAATGTTGTGAAAACTGTGGGAGTTTTGGTAACACAATTATCACAAACATTATTGCTGCAATTATATATCAATATTGCAAAAACCCTTGTGTACCTGATACACTGTTTGATTGTCCAATGCTGCAAAATACAGTGATTTGGTGGTTTTAATCTTAAATAAATAACTTTCAGTACAATTGCGTTTTGTCACTTTATATTAAAATCAAACCTGCACAATCTGACACGAATATCAGGCGGGATTTGGCTAAGTAAACGACACTTCAATTCGTTTTGAACCTGAGGGTATTGTGCACCCATTCGATCAGGCGATCTGCTGAGGAGTCTGCTTCTTGGCACATGTGTAGGAGGACTTCATATTGCACATACAGCAGAGGCACGCTCAAACTTAGTAACTCATACAGGTAGCTGTAGTTGTATGCATTGTCCCTCAAGTGGCAGCTAGTGGCATGCAGAACACCATGCATCCAGTTAGATAGGCGCCTGGGGACATCAAGCAGCACCCTGGTGGCCTGCAGAGGCCAGCTTAGGATTCTCCGAGGCAATGAAGTCACAGTACCTGGGGGCTTGTCAGGTGAAGAACTAATGCAGCAAGTGTTTTCGGCACTCATCAAAGCCTCACTGTCCAATTTATTCAGAGGCACAGTCTCACTCTGAAAAATAAAAAGGAGCAACTGATGTTGTATTCAATGGATCTAGTGAAATTATAACACTGTTGCTGACTTGAGGTCCAATAATTGTAGAAAGAAGCTCTGTGACTGTGTAAATAGGAAAACAGGACCTGGGAGGAGTCTATAACAGCCCTCAAGTTTACAGAAACCTGTCAACCTTCGACTTATAACTAACAAATGATGAAGCTTCACTTGCCATTTGCAGAAGAGAGTTTTGTACTTCCACCAGCCTTTGTGTGGGAAAGTGTTTCCGAATTTCACTCCTGAAAGGTCCACAAAAAGCGGGAGATGCAGCTATCAGTCCATTCTCCATCATCACAAAACAATGGAAGATCCAGCTGACAGCACTATTAAATGACACTTACATAGCAACACCTAGCACGCTGATGGTCAGTTTAGATTCCACCAAGGCTGCTCAACTCCAGATCTTAACACAGCCTTCGTCCAAACATGGGCAAGAGAGTTAAACTCCACAGGTAAGGTGAGAGTGACTGCCCTTGACATAGACAGCATTTGAATAAGTGTAGATCCAAGGAGCAGAAGTGAAGTTAATGGGAATTGATTTGAGTCATACCTAGTTTAAAGGAAAATGACTTTGGTTGTTGAAGACCAGTATAGCCCCAGGATATATTTTCCTGATTAACCTGTTCAGAGATGTTGTGACACACCTCTGGAGCAGGTGGGAATTGAACCCAGGCCTCCTGGCTCGGGGGCAGGGACACTACTACTGTGCCATAAGAGCCCACAGCCCCAGGATATTGCTGCAAGTGTCCTTCAGGGTAGTGTCCTATTTACAACTATCTTCAACTGCTCATGAATGACCTTCCCTCCACCTCAAGGTTAGAAATGGGGATGTTCACTGATAATCGCACTCATGACTTCTCCAGACATTGAGTTCATACAGTGCCACAAGCAGAAAAAGCTGAACAAGCAGAAAATAACACTTCCGCTACACAAATCATAGGCATGACCATCTCCAATAACAGAGAATCTAGCCATCTCCCATCAAAGTTATGACCATTGCTGAATCCTCCACTACTATCATGACTCACTGGAAATCAAGTCTCACCATTTCCAGAACCATAACAAACATGAAAAGATTTAGTTAAATTGTTCAATGTCCCCAAATTACCCAACTGACAAACTCAGGTTAAAATAAAACACTCATCGTTTTCTGTACTTACCAGGAAAATGGCTGTTTATTACAAGCAATTTGTATTTCATCAATGGCAATTATAAAATATGAATTACTAACTTATCTCTTTGAAATTCATCCCTCTTTTCCACTTTGCAAATGGGCATATAAAGACTAAGACATGGATATGAAGGATAGCAAATGAAAATGAAACAGATAAACAGTTTGACAGCAAGTGACTGGACCATGGGAATTGATGGGCTGCTTCTTTCAGTTTCTTCCGATTCCTTTCCGTGGTTTGCTGTTGACACAAAGTTGTTTAGATATCAACGTTCCCTTTTACTCCACTGGTTGTGAATTTGTCTTTCCACTGTCCAAGCAGGTGTTTTATTCCTTCTTTAACAGGGGATTTGCAAAAAAAGGTGGGTGGAGACTTTCTGGGGTCACCACAGAGGAGGCAGGAAGAGCGATATAGAGAGAGAGAGAGAGACATAGAGAGAGAGAGAGAGGCAGACAGACAGACAGAGAGAGAGAGAGAGACAGAAAAAGGGATTTGCTTGATGCTTTCTGTTCACAGGCCTAGCATTTCTCTGCTGCACTGGCCTCACACAAGTCACGATCATCGTATTTCTCAAGACATTGCCTCCTAGTTCAGTATCCTGTGGCTCTATGTATATCTGCATTTGCTCCCATTGTTCCAAGGAAAACAACATTGTAAAAGCACTGACAATGTGCTCCAGGAAACATGAGTTTTAAAACCGCAGCTATCACTTTGTATAGTCTGCTTAATTTAAAATATGCAGATGTATTCCCTACACTATCAACATCAAGGGGTTTCGAGGAAAAATGCAGGAAAGTGGATGTGAGGAATGTCGGATCAGCCACGATCCTATAAAATGGTGAAGGGGGTTCGAGGGGCTGAATGGCCTATCCTGATCCTATTTCTTATGGTCATATAACATTTTGGGAGAGTTACCACTGACCATAAATGTAAGTGGACCAGCCATATAAATACTGCTGCTACAAGGACAGATCAGAGTTCAAGGGTTTTGTAGCAATTAACTCAGCTTCTGACTCTCCGAAATCTCTATACCATCGACAAACAACAATTCAGAAATGTGATGATATGCTCTATATTTGACTGCAAGAATGCAGCTTTCTTGACAGTACAGGAACCTATAATCCAGGCTAACTCTGGGGACATGTGTTCAAACCACAACACAGCAGCTGGTGGAATTGGAATTCAATGCAATAAATCAGGAATATAAAGCCAGTGTCAATAATATTGACAATGGGACCATTGTCTATTGTCTTAAAAACCTCAAATGGCTCATGAATTCCCTTTAGGAAAGGGACCACGCCACCTTTAATTGGTCTACCCTACATGTGACTCCAGACCCACAGCAATGTAGCTGACTCCTAACTGCCCTCTGAAATGACCTAGCAAGCCATTCCATTCAATGACCATAAAGGGAAGGGCCATGCAGCAACATCCACATCCCATAAAACAATTTTCATAAAAATCTCAACACCATCCAGGGCAAAGCAGATCACATTTTAGGCACAGTCTTTTACTACAATAAGCATTTATTCCTAGATTCTGGAACAATCCTAGCAGTTAGTAAAAGAAATACTGCTATTGAAGAAAGAATGTAGAAAGAAATCAGGGAACTTCAGGTAAATTAACCTGACATCAATCATAGTGTGGCGATACTATGGCTTTAAGAGGAGTACTTTATCCTGTTTTTTTTTTGAAGAGAGGTTGTGAAAAAGGTAACAAACAATCTGCTCCAAATCCAATAAAATAAACAGCTTGTGAAGCCTTGGGATTTCTTTTTAATGTTGGAACAATAGAAGCAGCTTGAATGGGTGGGTCAAACTCCCACAGAACCAGGATTTTTTTTAGTTTAGCTTTCATTAGCACTTTCTGGGGTATGAAGCTAGATGTGGAAGCTCTTATTCCTCTTTCTGTTAGAGCTAAAAGCTGGGGTTCTCCGTCCGTAGCTAGAATTGCTTGTGAGACAATCTATTTTACTGAATTTGCCTTTGCCAAGGGTGTGCCTATGGGATGTTACTATTGGAACAGTTAATGATTAACAAATTATTATTTTGTTAAGCATTTCAATTGCGTTTTGTCTGTTTTTTAATTATAGTGTATGAACAAAGCATGTTTTCCTTCAAGCCTGACAGTTTGACCAATCAAATTGCATCCAGAATGGAACCTGGCACTTGCCTTTATAATAAGAAAAAGTTAGAGTGCAGGCTATCTCCTTGACATGTTTTGAGGGGATTTGGTCTGGTTCATAACACTAGTATGATGTCAATGTGATTTTATGAAAGAGAAATTATGTTTAGCATTAAGAGTTTTTAAGGTTACAACTAGTAGGGTAGATAAAGGGGCAGCAGTTAATGTATACCTGGTTTTCCAAAAGGCAGTCAGTAAGGTATCACATAAACAGTTAATAGGCAATGTTTCATTGAGCTAGGGGAAATATATTAACCTGGATAGAGGTTTGGTAAATGGACAGGAAGCAGAATGTAAGTATAATTGACCAGTTTAAAGTTTATAGGCTGCAGTCACACCATAAGACATAGGAGCAGAAGTTGGGTATTCAGCCTGTTGAGTCTGCTTCACCATTCACTGAAATCATGACTGATCCCGATAATCCTCAGCTCCATTTTCCTACTTTTCTCTCCAAAACACTTGGTTCCCTCATTCATTAAAAATCTATCTCATCTTTGAATATACTTAATGACTAAGCCTCTACAGGCCTCTGTACTAAAGAATGCCACAGATTCACAACCCTCAGCTAAGAAATTTATTCTCATTTCTAATTTCTGGAGGATACAGTCCTCCATACCTGGTACAGGTAGTTCTCCTATAACGCGATAGTTACGTTCTTGCGTGACCTCGTGCTATAGAAAATCACCATAGAACATCGCGTTGTAGGGAATCACTATAGAAAATCGCTATACCTGTACAGCAGAAAGTTCGCATTATCCAAACGGCGTCCACTATTCATCAATTGCGTTACAACCAATTCGCGTGAACGAGCCACACATAATAGCAGAAATACCTGTATCATACCAGTGAACTTACTCTGGACTACCTCCAATTCCAGTGTATCGTTCCGTACGACAGGGGCCCAAATGTGTTCACAAAATTCCAGTGGCGGTCTGACTAGTTCCATGTATAGTTTTGGTAAGACCTCACCTATTGTTATACTCCATTCCCTTTGAAATAAAGGCCAACATTCCATTTGCCTTCTCTGTTACCGGCTGAATTTGGATGCTAGCTTTTTATGATTTATATACAAGGGCTCTCAAATCCCTCTCTGTGGCAACTTTCTGCAGTCTTTCTCCATTTAAATAATAGTCAGCTCCACTATTCTCCCTGCCAAGGTGCATAACCTCACACTTTCTCATATTATATTCTATCTGCCAAGTCTTTGCCCACTTATTTGTGTTATCTCTACCATCTGCAGATTCCACATCATCCTCTCCATTTGCCTTCCCACCTACTTTGGTGTCATCCACAAAACTAGCGATAGCACATTCACTTTCGTCATCCAAGTCAGGATTGTAACAAAGACCCAGTGCTGGACCATCAGCTGTTTACAATCTATACGAATGCACTGCAGGCAGTACAGTTCACTTAACCAATCCCCGAGATGAGAGTTGTCCTGCAGTGAGATCTTGAGTCTATATTCTCAGGAGTGCAGAAGAATGAGAGATATACACGTTGAAAAGTATGAAATTCTGAAGGGATTTGACAGGCTAGACACTGAGAGGTTATTTCCACTGACTGAGGAATTTAAAATTTGAGAAACACCATCACAGGTTAAGGGACCAACCATCCAGTACTGTGACAGGAGAAATTTATTCACGCAGAGGATTTCAAACTTTTGGAAATCTCTACCTCAGAGGATTATGGATGCTCCATCATTAAATATATTCAAAGCTGAATCAGATTTTTTAGCCTTTCAGGGAATGAAGGGATATGGGGATAAGGTGGAACAATGACTCGACCAGCCATTGTCATACTAAGCAGCAGAGCAGACTCAACAAGCTGCATGTGCTTCAATCTTTATCTTCTCTATTTGCTCCCATGACCATCAATGCATAATGGCAGCTGTGTGTAATGTTGTGAAATAATTCTTTATGAAAGGTGACTTTACAAATTTACTGAATGGAAAGCTTTAGTTGAATTTTGAGAAAGACAAAAGTCACATTCCAATTACTTGAAATCACTGTCAAAGATGGGCGCATGTTAGCATCACTGTAACTTCTATACTTCAAGGCCATTAAGTTTATCTGCAAAGCCTCACCAGGAACATTTGTCTTGAAGGAGAATAAGAGGGGGCCATATCCTATTCCATTAGCAAAACATTCAGGCTATCATCATCTGGGTATTCAAGTGGGTGGGCACAAGCCATTAAAATAATCATTTAGACACTGTGACTCTAGCTCTGAAAAAAAAATGGGCTCAGATGGAATCCAAATCATATAAACCAGTCACCAGCATTCCACTATACCATCACTATATCACCAAGAGATTGGTGTAACTGAGCAGGTGAAGAGAGAGAGTCTCGTGACAAACCAATTAACCCTCTGGTGTTTTCGAGTATATGTCATCTTTGCAGGTTGGGTAAGTACATAAGGTGCTGATGAAGTGTGAATTGTTCTCTCTGTCGAGATAACTAGCTTGTTTCGAACTCTCTCCTGTTTTTTGACTTTCCATTTGCTGCAGGCAGAGGTCTTTCAAAACATCTCAAATCAACAGCTGCTAATTTCAAAAGATGAGATAAATCTTCTGTCTACATCTTTAAGCTGACTCAACATCGAATTTAGGAGGACCATCAAGTTCAGTGTGAAGCCAGCCAAGTGACTAAACTTCAACAGTCATATATCATCTTACTTCATGGGACTTGAAACTACTTAAACTATTCTTCCGCTCTGTAATCTATTGTGTGTGAGAGAACTTCAAGTAGGTTTGTGAAAGTTCAAATACTTTATCATTTTGTTTGACTGGGTCAAGTACGATAAATACTATTCTGTTCCTTTGAAAACATATCAAGGAAACCTATCTGTGTCTTTTATAATCATAGCAAGTAAAAACAGTCAAACACTCACTGAGTTGGCAAGCATATCATTTTAAAAAAAATCCTGTTGCAGTCAACCGAAGAGTGGAGGAGAAGGGAAATACTCAGCTGCTCCTCATCTCATTGTAACAGCGCTGCCTACACATTGCTACAGTGCAATGTGCCACGACTCAGACTTACAGAATCCCTCCAGTGTGGAAACAGGCCACTCAGCCCAACAAGTCCAAACCAATTCTCTGAAGAACATCTCACCCAGACTCACCCTCCAATCCTATCCTTGAAACCCTAAATTTCCCAGATTAATTCACCTAACCTACACATCCCTGAACACTGGGTAGTTTAGCATGTCCAATCCACCTGGCCTGCGCATCTTTGGACTGTGGGAGGAAACCGGAGCACCTGGAGGAAATCCACGCAGAGACGGGGAGAAAGTGCAAACTCCACACAGACAGTCACCCGAGATTGGAATTGAACCCGGGTCCCTGGTGCTGTGAGACAGCAGCATCTTGCAAACCCAGAGCTTCCTCCAACAAAGGCAGGCAGCAGGCACATGAGATGGAATCTTATGGGGCTTTGAGTGTCTATCATTTGGGTGTATCATGAAATGTGTGGCAGAATCATGTGACACCTCAGCGTTGAGATAATCTTGTTCCATCTTTTTTGTGTTCTTCACAAGTGGCACAATGAATTCTTGCTAGGCAGTGGTGAAATGCTGATTGACGGGGATTAATGCTTATTAAACATCTTGTTAATGGTATAACTTGTCTCATTAATATTCAGACCGCCATGTTGCTAAATAAGCATGATGTTGGGAAACTTTGACAAGAAAACCAGAGCAAGCGCGTGGCAGACTCAACTTGCTGCTAGCTCCAAACCTCCTCAGTGAATGCTCTATGGGCACCAGGCACACACATCCCACGTCAATGGACATTGGCATCCGTCATACGCCAGTCTTTAAGAATCCTGATGGCATATCTCCGATCTCTGGCAACTACTGATGTAATGCTGCAGCAAGGACACTCAGGGACATGCACCCAGCTCTTGGACTGGACCAGGCTGTATCTTTGGGCTTTTTGCTCACTGTCATAGCACTCCCTCACAGACACTACATTGAAACTTACACCTCAGGGAAGGCGATGACCAAGTGGTATTATCGGTGGACTACTAATCCAGAGACCCAGGTAATGTTCTGGGGATCTGGGTTCGAACCTTGTCATGGCGGATGGTGGAATCTGAATTCAATAAAAATCTGAATTAAGAGTCAAATGATGACCATGAATCCATTGTCGATTGTTAGAAAAACCATCTGTTCACTAATGCCCTTTAGGCAAGGAAATTGCCATCCTTATATGGCCTGGCTTACATGTGACTGTAATGTGATTGACTCTTAACTTCTCTTTGGGCAATTAGGCATGGGCAATAAATGCTGGCCATGAATGAAAAAAAAAGAGTATCTCTGTCTTGCATTGCTTTGTGCTTTGCCTCTCAGTCAGAGATGCTAGGCTCATATTCTTGCTGTCTTGCCTTGTCATTTAGCACAGATCCCAAGCCATGAGCGTTTCATGGCTGTTAGCAGGCCTCAGGCAAGTTAAGGGTCAGGGGTTCACAGCACCATAAGTCAAGGGTAGCCTCCAATAGCAGCCTAGGCCCTGCTCAGATTGGTCAGAGTCAGACCCCTTCCCAGAGGGGTGAAGAGCTGAATGATGGGCAGCACACCATCCATATCAACTCCTTCTGTCCTCCCGTGGGATGGTCTGCTCCTCGAATCAGAGAGAGGCAGGTATTACAAGGATAAAAGTGGGTGGCACAGCTATCACCCTTAGTGCAGCTGGGAGGTATCCCAAGCGAGTAAGGAGGCAGCGCAGAGGGCATGCAGGGTTAGTGCTGTCGGGGGTTGGCGTGGATAAGGGTAAGTGATGGAAAGTGTTACAGGCAATTGTGAGAGTGGTAGAGTAGGAGCCTTGGTGGGAGGTGGGTGCAGTAGCAGAGATAGAGTGTGAGGTATCGGAGGGAAGATGGTGGCATTTACATCAGTGGAATGGAGAAGTTCACTGACTGTGCACTCCTCCAGACAGCTGAGATGGCTTTTAGCCAAGAGGCAACATCTGACCAGGCTGGCACAGTCATGTGTTGTGGCTACAGCTGCTGGCTCTGAACGGAAAGGAAGTCCTGCATGTATGCCACCCATCCATCAGGACGCCAAGATCCTGCCCTCAAATTGGGGTGCAATTATCCCCTGTCCGGGTCAAATGTCAGCTCCAGACTGACAGTGATTGGCCAGGAGCACAATGACTTCCTGAAGAGGACCCATGCACAATGGATGCTGCCTGGTGAGTTCTGGGATATCCGCTGAGAGTGGCGAGTTATTCAAGAAATGGTGCATGATAAGATGGGGCAAAAAGTGGACGTGAAAATGCCATGGGGGCATGGTAGTTAATTAGTGAGGTGAGTTTGGTATGATATGGCAAGAAAACTAATTAGGTCACTGAGAGATCAACCCTCCAAAAACTTGAGGCAACTTGGACTTCAAGCCTAAAAAAAAAGCAAAATTCAGCCCATGCTTGTGCCTCTACCTGCAAGTTCCCTTCCAACCTTCCTGAACGATATCACTGTTGTTGGGTCAAAATCCTAGACTTCACACCCTAACAGCACTGAGAGTACCTATGCCATGTGCACTGCAAAGGACCAAGAGGAAGGTTCCTTACCAGCTTCTCAAGGAGAATTAGGGATGGGTGAAAAATTCTGCCCTTGCTAGCAATGTTCACAGCACATGAATAAATAATAGAAAAACAACCTGATTCTAATTTTAAAGCCATATCCTCTGGTCCTAGAGTCTTGCTTCAGTGGAAATAGTTGCTCCCAATACATTTCTCAATCTAGCCTGGGGGGTTCTGTCAATAATTAGAGCAGGAGTCCCCCGGGATAGGATAAACATTTGCAAGTGTTTCCACACTGCCAAATTTGAGATAATGTTTATTTAGACTTTGAAAGATGATAGCATGTTAGAAAGTGCACTCAGTGGCAAAACATCCTCTGTTCACAAGATTGTTATTACAGCAGGGCACTGCCGAGATGGTGCCTACCTTTCTGTCTGTTGACATTGTTGGATGATTCCGCCTCTTCCTTGCCTTGCTATTCAGTTTACAGTAAGTAAAGTGAGGTTTGCAGTAAAACTTTCCTGAGTGAACAAAAGATCAGATTAGGTTACAGTAAAACAACAAACAAAGTGTCAAAGATTGCAGTGCAGAATGACTGTAGGCTCGAGAAGGAATCGAGAGTGCTACACTAGGAAGACTCAAAAACAGATGTTAGTCCAAAATGAATAGATTTGTCTAAAGGGTAGAAGCGTTATTCAGGTTGGAAGGAGAAATTTCTCATGTCAACCCTGTGGCCATTCAGTCCTTTGAGTTTGTTCCACTATTTAACTTCCTGCCTTTGCTCCAAATCCCTTCATCCCACTCAACAAGTTGAAAAGAACTCCTTCAATTCCAATGTTGAAAACATGAAGCAACCCACAGTGCTCTTTTTTGGGCGGGGTGGGGGTGTACGGAGAACAGCGTAGAAGATTTCTGTTAATGATCTGGACACGGAAACACGAGACAAAACTTCAAGGTTTTCAGATGAAATCACACTTGGAAATGTCATAAACGTTTGGAGAATAGTAACAGACTTCAGAAGGGCACACAGACTGATGAAAGGGGCAGACACATTTAACAATTTTGAACTTTAATAGAAGTGTACTAGGAGGGGTAATATTGTAAACAAATTAGTCCAGTTTTAAAGGGGGTGGATTATATCAATATGAATCTTTGAAGTGACAAGACCAGTTGAGAAGACTCTTAATAAAAAGATCCTTGGCTTTATAGAGATAGTAAGAACTGCCGATGCTGAAGTCTGAGATAACACAGTGTGGAGCTGGAGGAACATAGCAGGCCAGTCAGCATCAGAGGAGCAGGAAATTTGATGTTTCGGGTCAAGAGGTTTCTGAAGAAGGGTCCCGACCCGAAAAGTCAGCTTTCCTGCTCCTCTGATGCTGCCTGGCCTGCTGTGTTACTCCAACTCCACACTGTGTTATCCTCGGATTTATAACAGTTTTAGGACTAAAAAAGGAATCATAGAATCATGCAGTATAAATGAGGCCATTCAGCCCATTTCTCCTGTACCAACACTTTGGAACAGCCATCCAATTAGCCTTATTTATCAATATTTTCCCATAATTCTGTAAAATATTCCTCAGTCCAATTGCCAAAATGGAAAATTTCTCTCTGATGCTTCGAGATTTATTTTCCATACACCTACTTAACTGTTGTTTGGAGTAATACTGGAACCAGAAATAAGACCACTGCATGTACTCTCTCTCGAACAGAGGAACAAGAAGTTTCAAGGGAGACAAGGAGCTTAGAAACACAAGAGGCCATTGAGGTCCTCAAGCTGGTTCCATGTTCACTGGCAGGTCCACATCTTACCTCCATTTATTCACAAATGGTTCTGTAAATTCCATTCCATCACTCACCAGAAAAAAAATCTATAATCTCTATGTTGAATTTCCAGTTGATCTCTAACCTCAGCAGCTCTTTGTTTCGGTGGTGCTGGAGGGGAGCAGTGGTGGTGTACGCTGGATTTGGGGATTCCAGATTTCCATTAACCTTCATGTGAAGAATTGCTACCTGAACAGCCTGGCACTAATTTTGCGATTTGTTACTATGTTTTGGACTACCACCCCTCTCAAACCAAAAGAAATACTTTCCCTTCCCACCTATCCTACCATACCCTTTAGCAATGTCAATCTAACAGTCCCAATTGTATATCCTCTGAATCTTCTTTACTTGCAGCAAATGTAATCCTAGCCTATGCAAACAGTCATTATTATGGAACCTTTCTCAGCATATAATTGCCAAGTGGTTGAGATTGGGGAGCTGTGGGGTAGGGAGGAAACAGGTTGCAATTACCTTCCTCAACACTGAAAGCATAGGCTCCAAGCCGCAGCGTAGTCGAGCAGAACTCACACTTGAAGCATTCTCGGTGGAAGAATTTACCATCTGCACTCAGTCGCTCCATGACATAAACACGCTTTTTGCAGAAGTAGCAGATGTCACTGCCTCCGAGATTCTGGGGAAAATCTTTCCGCAGTGACCCCTACAAGATCAAAAAAAAAAATTCCAAGCAAGTTAAAACAAAAATGCACCAGCGTTTAATCCATTCTCGTCTATCCACCAAAACCCCCTTTTCCAGCCAGTTTCCACCTCTCTCTTGCTAGTGTGTGGCCAGGGTACCATTGTAATCTTACCAATTATTATCCCTCAGTGACACCCTTGGATTCACATGAGTTATCACTAGGAATATTTCACTGCAGCTGTGTCAGATCTGAGATTCACCATGTTAACGGTACCTGACCAAAAGCAAACTGCACAGCCAAACCTTGCACAGCAACAATCTAGAAGCAGCTTAGAAGATGGACAACCAGTGATCCCACATTATGACTGATGATTCTGGCTGAGAGTGGATTTTTGGCCAGGCTGCCTGGGGAATTTCTTGCTGTTCTTTGAAAAATACCATGGGATCTTTTCTGCACATGTAGTGGATTTAACATATTACAATGTCCCAAGGACTTCACAGGAGCACCATCGAATGTGGTTTTACACTGAGCCACATCACGAGATATTAGGGCAGAAGAGATAAGTATTAAGGAATGAATTAGCGGTGGAAAGAAAGATAGAGAGGCAGAGGGGTGTGGGGAGTGAATTCCAAAGCTTGGAGCCTAGAAAAGAGAAAGCGTGGCCACCAACAGTAGGGCAATTTAAATCAGGGATGCTCCTAGAGATAGGATTAGATGAATGCAGATAGCTCAGAGGGTTGTGTGGCAGGCTGATATTACAGATATAGGGAGCAGTGAGGCCATGGAGGGAGTTGATAACAGCATTCTAAAACCAATTGCTTGACCAGGATCAAATAGGTCCGAGAGCAAAAGGTAGATAGAGGAATGGTGCTTGCTACAAGGTAAAACATGGGCAAGAAGTTTGAATGGCCTCACTTTCATAGAGAGCAGAACATGGCAGACCTACCAGGAGTGCTGTGGAATAGCTGAGCTTGGAGAGAAAGGCCTGAATGGAGGTCTCAAACTCAGATGAGCTGAGACAGGTGTAATATTACAGAGGTTGAAATAGAAAGTATTGCATGAATATGAAGTGCTCCTGAACAGTTTCACTCCCAATTGGATACAACTCTACAAAGATCCCAAAAGCCTCTGCTGACTTCCATCATGGCAGTTTCGTTGTCCATAAGACGTTAGCCGGATAGGTGGGATCTCTGTTTAACTTTTCCACTGAAAGTCAGCAGCATTAACAGTGTAGCACTCACTTGAAACTGGGAGCGTCAGCCGAGGCTGAAGGCTGACATCTCTGGAATGGGACATTAAACTAGCTCGGAATGGGTCTTAGGGACGAAAGTACAATCCTCTGGTCGAGTCCGACACTGGTCAACAATATTTGTGTCGAAAATATTCCCCAAGTTATTACAAAACTTTAATCCACTCATTACAAGTTGCCTCAGCCCAAGCTTACTGGAATTGTTATTTAAAGAATCTAACGTCCGTTGAAATGAATTTGGCAAACATTTAAACAACAACATAATTACAAGTAATTTATATCATCAGATTAATACCAAAGTAAGTTGTACTGTTAGATTAAAATCATATAAATCAACAGTCCCGTTAAGGAAGAATCTTTCACAGTGAAACAAGCACTCTTCAGCATTAATGTTGCATAATCCATTCCTGAACCATCAAAAACTTGGAAAATTTGAAGTCATTACGCAGTGTGAGCAGAAACTTTGGTGCTCACTGACTGTGCACATGGAAGTGGAAAGGCCACTTAATGAGGATGGGGTGGTCTTCTCCCTGAGTCTGGCCCCTTCCTGCCTCCGCTAGAGTTTTGTTCTGGATGGGAAATCCCGTGCTTAACCTTCCTGCCCAACTGAAGCCCTTAATGTGACAAATTAAGGACCAGAAACAGGAGTGAGAGAGCAAGGCAGCGAATTAAACACAAGCAAGCTGAAGCTAAGCAGATTGGATGATTGTTTTGCAGTGCATCTCCACATAACCCCTAGCATGGACCTGAGCTTCCGGTCGCTTGTCATTTTAACTCACCACCTCGCTCTGATGTCCAGGTTACTGTCAGCCTGCTGCAATGTTCCTGAAAAGCTCACAACACAAATGCAGAGAACAGCATCTCACAATCCAATTATGTATTTACAGCTGTGCAGACTCAATAGTGAAGTGAACAATTTCAGACCATGAATTCTGTCCCCACTATTGATTTTAATTTTCTGCCCTGTGTCGGGGCTCATCTTGCTTTTGGTCAGAACTGTTCTGCTATTCACACACAGTCCAGACAAATGATTTGTTTTTTCTTGCTACACCCATTATCTCCCTTTCTGCTTTTTTCTCAGGGACACTTTGTCAGGTAATCTCTCCCACCTTTTACCAATCATGGACCTTGCCTTTTGTTCTTCGTCCCGTTCCCCCTTTCAACGCATGAACCCCATCACATTTTTACTTTCCTCCAGTTCTGAACAAGAGTCATATTCAACTGTTTGACTACATCTACTTTGAAGCTTACCAAGTCAGACGAGGTTACTGCTCCTTTTGGCCTGTGATCAGTTTGGTAAAGTGTGACCAAAATTTCTGCCATTGCACCAATTACAGATGATACTTTCCCCACTGTCATCTAACCATCACAGCGTCAATAAAGAGATGGACAGACAGACAGACAGACAGACAGACAGAGAGCGAGAGAAAGAGACAAAGATCAGTTAAAAGGAAAGTAAGAGAGAGTTTAGCTTATCTGAAAATCAAGTGAAGAAAGAGTTAGAGACTACTAATCAAGACCACACGATACACTAGATTGTGGTCTGACTGACTTCACAACAGTCAGCAAGGCCCAGAAAGAGCACAACAGAACAGTACAACTTTGCAAAAAGGTAAAGCCCGCAGTTGGACACACAAGGGAAACAAGTGGCAAACTTTTCCAAGGGAAACAACTGGAAAATTTTCCATTCTTCAAAATTCTCATCAGTTCCTACCCACTGAAGATCTCAACTCCTTCACGAGGCACAAGGTCTCAACTGGTGACAGCAGTCCTAATTACAGCTACAATAGGGCTGGGATGGAATCCGATTAAAAAAGCAATGAGGCTTTTTGCAGCTAACACTTGGTTCATGTGACTTCGATCACCACTGGAATTTGGAGGGGAGTTTGCCAGAGTTTGTTAACACCGTGCAACATGCATCAGACAGGAATGTTCCCTCCCAGTGAGGAACACATCAAGAACATTCAGCCTCCAATCTTCGGGTAAGCATCCTCCAAGATACACAGCAATGCAGAATTACCAAGAAGAGACTGATAGCCAAGTTCCGTACCCATGAAGACGGTCTTAGCCATGATCTTGGGTTCATGTCGTGCTATATGTGACCCCACCCACACTATTCTGTATCTGTAAAATCTTCCTTACTGTCCTGTTTTGACACCATCACCTTGATAAATTGTTATGATCTACCTTAATTAGTTTATACAGTTTTGAATTACTTGTGACTTTGGTTAGACCCTCAGCATACGACTCTTATATCCATCATGTTATTCCAGTCATTTGGTTTGTCTCCAGCACCATCTTATTTTTAATTTTTTTGTAATTATCTCTCTGCCTCAATTAATCAGATTATAGGTCATCCCTTCGCTGGTTATTCAGCTGTTGACACTTTACTCACCGTCTAACATTCTTGGTCACCTGCAGAGACTTACTATCTGACACTCCACTCATACCATTTATATGATCTTTTGATCTCTCTGCCTATAAACTCTGTGTCTGTGTGCTCTTCTGTCTCACTGCACCTGTCAAAGGGGCTGCGCTCTGAGAGCTTGTGATTTCAAATAAACCTGTTGGAATATAACCTGGTGTCATGTGACTTCTGACTTCTTCTGCCTGTCACAGAATGTTATATAGAAAGAGCTGATCATTTCCAGCATCTGTTCTTAATTTTCCAAGACTGTATTGACAATTGAGGTTTCTGAACTAAGTAGCAATATAGTGGACCTTCCTCCGAACCCTTCCAAATACTGGTGAATTTACGCAGCATTTGTCATTGGGTTTGTTGGGCACTCGATATAGAAATCAAGTTCTGACTCATGTACAAAGGATTACTAGGGCAGCAACAGAAGCAGGGGGTCTGATCCACTGCCCATCCCATTCCCACATCATTTCAAAGAAACAGAAGCATCCCTGTTGCTGCCCTGGTAGAGATCGCAGCCTAAGATTAGGTAGGCGTTCTGAGACATTGGCCTGGGAAGCAAACGTCATGAGCTTAAACAAACAACAACACAAAATTACACACAAGCATCTCAAAAGAGTTGCTGTAAAGTGTACCTGCAAAGCTAGAGGGACATGTCAGAGAGGAATGGGAAATCAACACAAGATTAGTGACATGACAATGATGGAAATAATGAAATAATCACATTAACACTACTGCAGATTTCTATTCTCCTCACTCTGTTGAGGCAAACTGTGGAAAGTTGCATCAGTGCAATAAATTGATGTGAACTGCACTAAACCTGGAGCAAAATTTGTGGAGGCTGAGTAACTGGACACTTTCTAGCCAGGTCAAAAATCCCACACCACCGGGTTATAGTCCAACAGGTTTATTTGAAAACACTAACTTTTGAATCTCTGCTCATGGAAGAGAAAGTATACTGATATAGAATTTATAAGCAGAAAGGTAACAACACTAAAAATGGCTCACAGACTGCCTCCTGTTGAATCTTTAATCAGTTAGAAAGGAAACACAGGGTCCTATTGATTAAAATGTAAATCCAAGAATTTCAGTCAAGACGTTGCCCTGAGATAATTAAAGGTCTTATCAGTGTATACAAGGGGAGACATCTTAGGTCAGACAATGCATTTTAGAAGTGAGGCCTTGTTTAGAATCTGTCTGTGTTTTAATCTGGAGTCAGGTTGGGTTTTTTTTAACAAAATAGAATGTGTCTGCAAATACACAAACACCTTGGACGAAATAATTCACCCCATGGGGGGGTGTGTGTGTGCAAAAGTATATAGTGTGGTGGGGTCACCTGTAGCACGACATGAACCCAACATCATGGTTGAGGCCGTCTTCATGGGTATGGAACTTGGCTATCAGTCTCTGCTCAATGATTATGCATTGTTGTGTATCTTGAAGGCGGCCTTGGAGGATGCTTACCCGAAGATTGGAGGCTAAACGTCCTTGCTCACTGAAGTGATCCCCAACTGGGAAGGAACATTCCTGTCTGGTGATTGTTGCACAGTGTCCACTCATCTGTTGTTGTAGCGTCTACATGGTCTCACCGATACCATGCCTCAGGGCATCCTTGCCTGCAGCATATGAGATAGACAACATTGACCGAGTCACATGAGTATCTGCTGTGCACGTGGTGGGTGGTGTTCCCACGTGTGATGGTAGTGACCATGTCAATGATCTGACATGCCTTGCAGAGGTTGCCATGACAGGGTTGTGTGGTGTTGTGGTCGATGTTGTCCTGAAGGCTGGGTAGTTTGCTGCGAACAATGGTCTGTTTGAGGTTTAGTGGTTGTTTGAAGGTGAGAAGTAGAGGCTTGGGGAAGATCGTGGCGAGGTGCTCATTGTCGTCGATAATGCGTTGAAGGCTGCAAAGAACATGTAGCTTCTCTGCTCCCAGGAAGGACTGGACGATGAAGGGCACCCTATTGGACATAACCTGTGTCTGTCTTCTGATGAGGTCATTACGGTTTTTCGCTGTGGCATGTCAGAACTGGCGATCAATGAGTTGAGCATCATATCCCGTTCTTATGAGGTCATCCTTCAACACCTTCAGGTGGCCATCATGTTCCCCTGCATCTGAGCAGATCCTGTGTATGTGTAGGGCTGGTCCGTAGGGGATGGTTTCTTTAATACATTTAGGGTGGAAGCTAGAGAAGTGCAGCATCATGAGGCTATCTGTGAGCTTGCAGCAGAGTGAGGTACTGAAGTGTCCTTCCTTGATGGAGATGCGTGGAGAAGCTGATTCTAAAGAGTAGTCTGTGGTTAGTCTAATGGTGGGCTGAAACTTGTTGATATCACTATGTAGTTGTTTCAGTGATTCTATGCCATGAGTCCAAAGGAAGAAAATGTCGTCAATGTATCTGGTGTATAGGGTTGGTCGGAGGTTCTGTGCAGCAACAAATTTTGTTCGAACCTGTGCATGAAAATGTTAGCCTATTGGTGTTCCCATGGCTGTTGTCTGGATGAAGAACTGGTTGTCGAAGGTGAAAATGTTGTGGTTGAGGATGAAGCAGATGAGTTGTAGGATGGCATCTGGAAATTGGCAGTTCGTGGTATTGAATACTGAGGCTGTTGCGGTGATGCATCATTGTGGGGGATGTGAATGTAGAGTGCTGAAACGTCCATTGTGATTAGGAACGTTCCTGGTTCAACTGGTCTGTGGGTGCTGGGCTCCTCTAAGAAATCTGCAGTGTCGCGACAGAAGCTGGGGGTTCCCTGTACAATGGGTTTAAACTCAGCTGCTAAACTGGAATGATTGCTTTGCTTCGGAAGTGAGCAAAATGTATTTTTCTTTGCTCCTCCTCTCGAAGCCTAAGCAAAAGATAATAGCTTTAGGAGCGACTAAACAAAATGCAAGCAGAAAATAATTGTACACAAAGCAAACTGAAGCTCCTCACTAATACAGAAATTGCTGAAATTACTCAGCAGGGCAGGCAGTATCTGTGGAGATAGAAAGCAAACAGTTGAGCACAGATACTGTCTGCCCTGCTGAGTAATTTCAGTAATTTCTGTATTACAATTATTTTCTGCTTGCATTTTGTTCAGTCGCTTCTAAAGCTATTATCTTTTGCTTAGGCTTCGAGAGGAGGAGCAAAGAAAAACACATTTTGCTCACTTTCGAAGCAAAGCAATCATTCCAGTTTAGCAGCTGAGTAATTGTTTAGAAACCACTTCAATTAATCAGAATAACACATCTCACTCGTCTGTTATTGTTTGCACTTAATGTTTACTGGTACTTGTTAGTCACCAGCAATGTAGGTCAAACAACGGTACCCTGTTGCAACATGGTGTGAAAATATAAAAACTGTTTGCTCAAGTACACTGTAACGTGGTTTGACAGACTCAATATCAACACTCTAACCAAGGCCGGAACCACTGCTTCACCACTGGGTAATTTGAAGAGTTTAGTCCTATGTAGCGGAGAGGGGTTTTATAAACGCCTACAACTTGTATGATGAGAAAGGAGGGTAACCCACAAAACAACAAAAAAGTGAGGATCCACTGGGTGTGAACCAGGAATTCAGAGACAAAGCTCTGGTCTTTATTGGCTCCACTCCACAAAGTAGGATTCAGACTTGGGATCTTCTGATTAGAAGGCAAAATCTAACGGCCCAGTTCCTTGAATTTAAAGGTTGTTTAATGGAAGCTCAATTTTACATAGCTGGACACAATTCAAAGCACCAAATTCTTTACGAAGGCATTCGTACACTAAGAATTAGAAAGACTTGTAATATACAGCAGCTCAGGTCTCTGAGAAGGGTCCCAAACATTTGTCAGTCAATCATTAAATGAAGTCACCTATAGCTGTAAGCTCCAACACATACCAATGTGGTGAATGACCAGGTCACGTGGTCTTGGTTAGATGATGATGACCTTGGCCATGACACCAAGAGTATTTCATTGTTCTTCCATAAAGACTGTTGTGTGACTTTTTTTTTAAAAAGCATTTTTTATTGAACAGGTTGATGAAGCATAAGATATAGTGGAGTGCAGCAATCCCTCAAACAATGCATTACAGCATCAGCTGGGAGTAAGTAGCAAATGTTTGGCACTAAGTGGCCAGGGTGTCAAGGTAGCTCAGAGAGACAAGAAAAATTGGGAGTTGAGTTTGAAGAGTTATCATGACTGAAGAGAGTGACAAGATGTAACAAAAAGAATGCAGCAACCTTTAGTCTTTTACAGTTGGTTAGAAATGTTAACTACACCAACTTCATGAGTGTCTGGAATGGGCTGCCAGAGGTAGCGGTGGAAGCGAGTACAATTTTGTCATTTAAGAAATATTCAGACAGGTACATGGACGGGAAAAGCACAGAGGGACATGGATCAAATGCAGGCAAATGGGACTAATTTAATTGTGAAAACTAGGCAACATGGCCAAGTTTGGCCGAAGGGCATGTTTCCATGCTGTAAACCTCTGACTCTACCTAGATTATAAAGAATATTCCAACAGGAATCATTAGAGGAGGAGATGGGGGGGCGGGGGGGTCAACTGAGAATAGGATGGGTAGGGATCATGGAATCTTGACCATCTGCTGGCAATGTATTGAAAACTACAATAACTTGCATTAGTTAAGAAAAGATGGGACTTCTATTCAAAACTGAGCATAGGTTTTTCGTCTCTGCAGTTCTGAGCAATTCCAAATTGGCCATTCAGAAACCAGCCCCTCTACTTCAGAAGCTAACAGGTGGCTAATATTTAATGGATGGCAGCTCTGGAAGAAACTAGCATTCCATGAACTGGCTCCTGACACTGCCACCAATAAACATTGTTGTTTTATTCACACAGAACTCTCAAAGCCAGGAGATGCTTTATACCATGCTAATGTCACTTCAATATCACCAGCTTCAACAAGTTCAGTAAATTGACATTGGTGCTGCCACAGAAAGCTAAGATACCTTTGTATCATCAGATTGCCCACAATACTGACACACCATTTCAGCAGATGAGAGAGGCTTTTGCTCATTAGGTTGTCTGGGTATGAATGATGATAGCAAGGCTGACATCTGTTTTCTGTCCATTGCAGCCCTTGAAAAGCAGTGGTGGTGAAATGTCTTTTAAATCTTTGAGTCCTGGTGAAGACAATGCTTTTAGACTGCTTGTTGTTAGGGACTCCTAAGATATACGATCAACATCACCAAAACAATGATCTGGTTATCGGTGTTTGTGGGATCTTGCAATATCCAATTTATCTGCCACACTTGCCACATTGCAACAGTGACAACAATTCAGAAAGTACTTCCATTGGCTGCAAGCATTTTAGGATGATCGGAGATTCTGAAAAGTGCTACAGGAATGCAAATTATCTCTTCCTATTGACCAAATGATGATATAACAATACAGAAAGCCTCCATAACAGGATTGTCTACAACTTGGAGAGGGAGAGGGTAATGACTGATGGTCTATGGACCCAGTTAGGTTCTTTCCTTCTTCACAAAACACCTTATTTATAAGAATGTTTAATACTACCAAACAGATTGGCTTACACACCCGAGTCAACCTGGAGTAATGTCCATCCAGTCCTCCCCTCCTTGCCTGTATGGTGGTACAGTCCTTCAGGATTTACCTCAGTTCGGTTCACTGCTACTTTGCTCATCATGCTGTTGAGTTTTCTCCCCCTGTCAGTTTCTCCTATTTCTTTTCTTGCTCTCTGTGTTGCCTATTTTCCTTTCTCCCTCTCTCTGTCTGTCTGTTAACTTCTTTGCATATCCCCCTAACTCTCCCTCTCTAACCTGGTTGATCTACCCCTCTAATCTCTCTGTCTCTGTCTCTATCTATCCTATCCAATCCTCTCTAGTCTAGCCTACATTCCCTCTCTCTCTCTGATACAAATAAATGAAATATTTTCAACCAGCTGCTTTTAAAACCATTACAAAATAAAGAAGAAATGTAACATTTCAGATCCAAAGGGTTTTCTTGTCATCAAACAAGTTGGGCAACACGACCTTGTAACTAAATGCCCGAGTTTTGAAATTTCCTCGCTATGTGTTTCCACCTCTCTACCTTCTCTCTTCCTCTTAAATGCTCTTGAAAAGCCCCTTCTCTGTTTAAGCTTTTGATCCCTGTCCTAATAAATTGTCCTGTCTTCCATGAAGTGCGTTGGGTCACTTTACTAGCTGAATGGAGCCATACAAATACAAGCTGTTGCTGTCTTATGAAATAGTGCACAACATCAGCATGCTGGACATGGCAAACCTCATTCTTTGGAACAAAGCAGGCACCAAGCACTGACATGCTCTCACTGACACGAAATTCTCTTGGACGTGCTGCAGATATTTTTACTTTGTAGCTCGTCATGCATCCTTCAGCAGGCGCAGGGAGGACATGCTTGACTACACCATAAGACCTGTGCCTCAGGTTTGATCTACCTGAGTGGGACAGTGCTGGCCAGAGTGTGGAGATTGAGAAGATTTGCTTTCACTTGAATGGCAGACTACAGCACGAGACTCATCATGTGTAGATACCTAAAAGAAGACAGAATACACAGCACTCATGGCTTCAGGAACATGAGTATTTTTAGACCCCATTATTTGACTTAGCTTGCACACCTTCCTTGTTTCCAGTGTTATCATTCGAGTTAAAAGCTCGTTTGACATTTGGGGGAAAATTCAGTTTCGTGGAGAGTCTGGAGAAGTTAGAATTGTTCTCCTTACGCAAGAGAAGACCAAGAGGAAACTTAATAGAAGCATTTAACATTATTAAATGTTTTGAGAGAGTGAATCAGGTGAAGTTGTTTTCACTGGCAGGTTAGAAACTGACTGACATAGATTCAAGATAATTGGCTAAAAATCTAGAGGGAGAGATATAAAAATACTTTTTACTGAGCTGCTGTCATCGGGACAGCTGTGCCTGAGGTGGTGGTGTTGGGCGGGGGCAAGCAGATTTAATACAATCATTGATAAAGGGAATAAATACTTGAACATGACATAATTGCACAGCTATGGGGTGTGCAACTAATTGGATTGCTCTTAAAGACAGCAGCATTGGCACAATGGGCTAAACAGCCTCTTTCTGCACTTAGTGATTTTATAATCTTTGACACCACATCCCTATGTCTGCATAATTACAGATTAGATGTATTAATATTGGTTCTCTAAATTGACAATGTTTTTTAACATACAGTTGCTTGGGGGTGTGGCTGACACTAGGAAGGTTGGCATTTTGTTAGTGATGTTTTGAACAGGTGAGGTCTTTATCTTGAATCACTGTGCAGTGGCTGACTGTACTATGGGTCTCTCCAGCAGGATACCAGCCAACAATAAAGAGTGGACTAGATCCTGTAGGGAGAACATGCTCCTTTTTCTTATGGGGCATTTATTACTCTCCTTGACATTTTACTGTTAGCCAATGAACTAAATTTGGTTTCACAATTTACTAATTTGTTACACAGGTTAAGATGTTTCAAATGCTTGCAGTTTTAACTATTGATAAAAAGGTCCAGATGACTGACACTTATTTTCCTGTAATGAAATGGACTTTAAGAAAGTGTAATGTTGTCAATTCTAAAAGAAAAAAAAATGGTACTGTGAAAATGGTGTATATTGTTTCTACAGTGTATCGCAGTTAAAAGGGCATGAAAATGCCATAGGCTGGCATACAGGGTGGTTGGGGTTATAGCCTGGCATTGAGGGGAGAGGCACTGAGGCTAGATGAAAGCATGAGGTGGTATAAATTGGTCACAGGAGTGGGTGTGGGAGTGAGGAGGTTTGATGTGCGATGGCCATAATTATTAAAACTGGGATGAATCCCCACAGCACTAAAATGGGTCATTTGAACAACCCACATCAGTACCCATAGCCCCAGTGGCAGCTTCCAAACAGCTTCCAGGTCCAGCTGGCCCAAATGCAGCCCTTTCCTGCCACCCACTGCCCAGCCCCCTCTAACTACTATGGAAGCCCTATCCTTATGGGCACTTTACCCTGAAGCTGGCAGACCAAGGTGTAAACTCTTCACTCTCACTACCCATCTCAAAGATGGCAATCCAGGCCAATACAGTCCTGCGAGACAGTAAAATGCCAGCTTTGCCTATGGAGCAGATCTTGACCTCATGGTCTTCTAACTACAAAGTAAAGCTCTATCCACTTGGGCAAACAGAGATTTATTATTCATTCTTTAGAAGACTACATATTTTAATAATCTGAAAGAAAGTTGTTTTCACTATACTGTGTTTGAAAGGACAAAGAGGTTATCGAGACATCAGAAAAGATGCAAAGGAAATTTACGAGGATGACACCAGAAACAGATGTGTAATACTAACAGAAGCTAAAGTTGAACAGCTGTGACTCTTCCCTACAGATAAGAAAAAAAAATCGAGGAGTGACCTGACAAATCATCAGTTATAAAAGTCCTGATAAAGTAGATTTAAATGAAGATGCTTCCATTTATGGGCAAGATGAGAACTTGGGACCTGAAATAGGAGATAGTCACTAATAAATCCAGTAGGATGTGGCTAACATGTGAAACTTGCTACAACATGGACTGATTCCATTACATAGCATTGACACACTTCAGGCAAAGTTGGATAAACAGGAGGGAGAAAGGAATAGAATAGTAAACTGGTATCAACTAAGCTGTACAAATTCCTTGGTTTTGTAAATAAAACATGGAGTGAAAGGACTTTTCCTTATTCAGTGCTTACTTGAGTCAACTTATCTTATTCTTGAACTTCTCTTTGATGTTATTGCATGATCATAAAGACCGACATGAGGTGGACTACTCACCTCTGTTTCAGCCTTGATCCGGCTACTCGATTGGTTCTGACTGCTTAAAAACATCTTTTCCAAGTTAATAGCTGCCGCCTTCACACTGCGTATCTGATCTCAGAGGACAAAGGTCACGGACAGCAGAGTAGAAGCAGGATCGAAAGAAAGAAAAGGAGAAAGACCAGCGAAAAAGGCCAAGAAAATTAGAGATATGTAAAGTAACAATATGAAGAGCAAAAACACGGTAAAGAATAAGATTAGGTGTTAACAATATTAGCATGGAGAATGCTTAATGTCTCCATCTGATAATTCTTTTTGCTATTTTAAGAGAAGGTTTTAAAATCTGCTTAACTTTCTACACACAACCCCTAAAATGTACCTAACTAAAGTTGAGAGAAATTAAGAGAGAAATGAGGACTTTTTTATAGAGCAGATTACTATGATCTGACATGTTCTGCCTTAAGGTGACAGTGGAAACAGATTTGATAGCAAGTTTCAAGAAAGGATTGGATAACTCATTGTCATTAATAATTTAAAAGGTAAAATACAGAAGAGGGGACTAATTGGACAGAACTTTTAGCACAGGTATGATAGGTAGAGTACCCTCCCCTTGCTTCATGATCTGTAACTTCCCATCATTATTTTAGGGAGTGCCAACGGACACTAGTTAACGTTAATAACCCATTTCAAAATGCTTCAGTTTTGGCGCATATACCCTCTGTTTTTAAGATGCCAGAAGGACAGCTTAAAAGTTGCACAACTTTGCTCAGCATCAGCAGCACACTGATCCAGATAGGCAATACCTGTGATGGAGGATCGGCTGGGTGAGCGATGGTAGACAACGAAGAAGAAGCAGAGTCATGAGTGGAGCGAGAGGTGTTGGAGAGAGAATGGGATGAGCTTGCATCGGACAGAGGCACCTGTTTAGGGCCAGCGTTGAAACACATGATGGAAATAAGGAAGAAATAGCCCGGAAGAAACAAAACAAGACCAAAGCTGAATAAGCATTGTGTTATCAGAATGATGCAAAAAGCAACAGAGAGTTATTTAGAACACTGCAATACCTGATGGGAGCAGTACTTGAAATCGAACACGGATTTAATTCAGGATTTCACTGCTAATTCTCCTTCCAAAGCAATTGAATTTACTCTATAAAATTATTTAATAAATGGTGGTGACTGATTGGTTACCTCAATCTATCCTACACGGTCAGCATGAGATGTGGGTGTCCCTGGAAAGACCAGTATTTGTCGTCCATCCCCAATTATCCATGTATTGATTGACCTGCTTCGCCATTTCAAGAGGCCACACACATTACCGTGGGTATGCAGTCACAACCAACTAAAGTCAGCACATTGCCTTCCTTAGAAATAAATTAATGAATCGCATTGGTTTTCATGACAATTGAATATCAGAATTTCTGAGACTAGTTTTGAATTCCAGATTTTATTCATTGTATTTAAATTCCAGGAAATGGTGACCTTTGAACTCATGGGCCCAGAGTATTAGCCTGGAGCCCTGGACTGCAGTGACATCAAAACTGCACTAATCTCAAAAATCACTAAGAACACATTGAAAATGGAACTTAAATGTTTGGAAGAAACTAATCCATTTATGTGATCAAAAGGAAAAAGAGGTCATGATTTCAAGTTTCACAAGGGCATATCCGGGCTAGATGTCAATGATAGTTCTTTTCCCAAAAAACAGTGGATCTCTAAAGGAAGATTCCTCACCAATTTCCATCACCAGGGGAGCAAGAAGCAAATCCTGCCAAGGTGTCCACAGGCTTAAAAGGTAGGAATGAAAATGTTCACTAAATCTGCTATTCAAAACAAAGTTGGAATGATATGGGAATCCATGTTAGCTGCCAAAATATTATAAGCCAGAAAACAGAGGCAGTTCCGTAGCTAACATCCAAAACTTTGACTTATGGGATATAGTCAAGAAAATGGCAGTAACAGAAAATGTCAAGTGCTTCGGGCGGTGGGGAGAGCCCTATTACGTGGAAAGCAATGGCCAAGTGGTATTGTCACTGGACTGTTAGCCCAGAGACCCAGACAATGTTCTGTGGATCTAGGTTCAAATCCCCCCATGGTAGATGGTGGAATTTGAATTCAATAAATATCTGGAAGTAAGAATCTAATGATGACCATGAATCCAGCGTCGATTGTCAGGAAAAATCCATCTGATTCACTAATATCCTTTCAGGAAGGAAGCTGCCATCCTTACCAGGTCTAGCCTACATGTGACTCTAGACCCACAGCAATGTGGTTGATTCTTAACTGCCCTCTGGGCAATTAGGGATGGGCATTAAATGCTGTCTAGCCAGCAACGCCCTCATGCCGTGAATGAATTCAAAAAAAGAGATGAATTGGTGTGGGATAGTGGTTGAAGTCTCTATGTGAGGTTGGGTGTGCCACAGTATGGGGAGGCAAAACAGGAGGAAGCCACAGTGAGGGGGGGTTGGTGCGGGAAGCAGGGGTGGTCATGTTTGTGTTTGTTTGGGGGGGGGGTGCGAAGGGCAGGGGGAGTTGACACGTGTTGTTACTCTTAGTCCTGACATCACAGGCTAGGAATGAGTTGGAGAGTCGATGTTTCCCTTTGTAAACAGTGAGCGAGAGTTAGATGGTGCTCTACTCTGGCCATGTCACTGTGACTGGGAACAGTATCAAGTTGACCTGCCCTCCCAATGGACAGGTATCAATTCAAAACACATTTGACAAGGTTCCAAGTGGCAGATTGGTCAGAAAAGTAAAAGCCCAGGAATGCAGGGGAATGTGGTGAGTTGGTTGAAAATTGGCCCAAAACAAAAGCTGATGTCAATGGGTGTTTTGCAAATGGAAAGCGGTTTCCAATGGTGTTCCAGAAGGCTCATTGTTGGATTCTTTGTTGCTTGTTGTACACAAAACTTAAATGCGAGAGGCATGATTGGAAAATGTGCAATATTTGCAGGTAATTGCTACTGAAAAGGATGGCTGATAACTGTAGGATAATTTCAATGGATTGCCTGAATAGGCAGAAAGGTGGCAAATCAAATTCAGTCCAGAGAGGTGTGAGGCTACACATTGGGGGAGGGCAAACAAAACAATTAATACCCAATTAATGGTAGGATATTGAGAGGGGTAGAGGAAGGTAAACACCTTGGTTTGCGAGTCTACGAAATGTATAAAGAAAGCTATGGAATACTTCCCTTTATTGGATGAGGTACAGAATACAAGCAGCAGGATGTGTTGCTAAAAGTGTACCCAATGCTGGTGAGGTCACAAGTACAGAGAACTTTGTACATAGTTCTGGTCACCACATTACGGAAAAGGCATAACTGCTCTGGAGAGAGTACTGAGGAGATTTACAATGATATTTCACAGCTTGAAAAGTTGTTTTGCTTAGAACAGAAGATCTGAGGGATAAATCAATTGAGGTATACAAAATGATGAGATGTCTGGATAGATTAGATATGAATGACCTGTTTCCACTTGTGGAGAGATCAATTACTGGGGACATAGGTTTAAGGTGACTGGTGGAAGGCATAGAGGGGACATAAGGAAAGTCTTTGCACTCAGAGGGTAGTGAGTAGCTGGAATTCCCTGACCGGTTTGGCAGAAGCATCTAACTCATTTAAAAGGTACTTAAGCTCTACACCTGAACAATTGCAACCTGCAAGCCTACGGACCAGGTTGGAATCAGCAGCAAGTTTATTTCCTTTTCAGCCTATGTAGACACAATGGGCTGAATGGCTCATGGGGCAGAACATCATGTTCCCCTCCTGGTGGTTTTTGGAGCCTGTAAAGTTCTCTGGTTGCCTTTCTCACCAATTTCCCACCTAACACCAACTTCTTTGCTACGTTACTGTAGGATGAGCAAGGCTGAGGCTGTTCCACCCACCTTTGCCTCAATTGAGACTCTTCAGTAACCAATTAATGTCCACTTCATGGCACGTTTCCCACGCGGCCTTAATTTTCAGGCTGGCGGGAGGTACTCAGGAGCAGGGGAGATGCTCAGAAAGTAACCATCAGCAGGAAGACATAATGTTACAGCATCAACAGCCTCCTTTCTTCATTGGATGTACTGCCCATACAAAGTCTGCCCCTTACGAGTGCTCCACCACCTCTTGACATCCCTACCCAAGGACCCCCACATTTATCTGGTCCTGGGACTTAGCCCTCACTTGTATTCCAGTTCTGTACACTTCAGGGACTTTCCTTTCACTTTCTTGATTCTTAATACCCTGGTGTTTGCCCACTTGTAAACTTCAGTTTTAACTTTGCAATGCAGAGGCTGCAATATCTTGTTGCTCTGAAAGGAGTCCTCAGTCAGTGTAATCATTTTGAATGAGAGTAAAGATTAGCCAAGAAAGCACACACCTGTTGTCTGAGAGTCCTGCCCCCAAAGAGGGCAGTCAGATGAGCTCCTCTCTCCTTGATACTCTTCCTGCTAAAGGGGACGTCACCTTGTGCAAGAGACAGAGCTTTCCTCTGTGGTGCAGAAGGCAAGAGATGTTTAAGACACAGAAGAGAAACAAAACAGAAAAGGAGGTGGTGATGGAGTGGGTCAGACGTGGACAGCTGCAGTACCGATGGTAAACCTAGGGAACTCGGTGGTGCTGCTGCCAACATAGGACACACAGTCTGGCAAATCACTGACGACCATCAGCAGTAAAAGGTCAAACTCAATAAAGTACATCTTAATTCTCCAGGCTGGGTAGTTATTTGGCACAGCAATTGCCTGTTCATTATAGAACTCATAGGAATAGGAAGAGGCTATGCAAACCCTTAACCCTGTTCACATACATAGAATTACAAAGAATATACAGCACAGAAACTGGCCATTCAGCCCAACCTGTCCATGCAAAACCATTTATGCTCCACCCAAGCTTTTTCCTGCTATTTCTTGTCTCACCCTATCAGTTTAACCCTTTATTTCCATCCGAGTATCTAGCTGCCCCTCTAAAGCATCTATACTCCTCACTCCTACCTGTCCTTGTGGTAGCAAGTTCCCACTCTCAACACTCTCTGGGTGATAAAATCTCTTTAGAATTCCCAATTCCTAGGGTCTATCCTACATTAATAGCATTTTGTTTAGTTCTTCCCCAGCAATGAAATCCTTCTGTGTCCACTGCATCAAAATCTCTCATAACTATAAAGCTCTCCATTTGGTCATCACCACCAAGCCCAATCTGTCTGCTCTCCCAATGGGTATATCTCCTGCATCGCTGCTATCATCCTTGTGAATTATTTTTACACAGTCTCCAGTGCCTCCATACATACTATAGTGAGCAGGGATGTTGATATGATATAAGCGATATCTTATACAAGTTTAATATATCCACTTTTTACACACAAATAAACTGAATTTGAAATGAATTGAACAGAGTGACTGATTTATAACTCAAAACCATTTTAAGGTTATATCTATTTGTTCTCTACATCAGAGGAAATCATTTCTCTGAACCTACTTTATGAATCCCTTAATCATCTTAACTTTTCAATCCCTTAAACCTCTATAACCAGCACTGTTCTATACATCCATTCTTCAGAACATAAACCTCTAAATCCCTGTTTCATTCTGTGCTGCACACCTTTCAATATCGATATATCTTCCTCAAGGTGCTGTCTCCAGACCTGAGTAGTTAGTCCTATAGTGCAACTTATTTTCATCCTTTTGATCTCAATAGAGTACCAAGCAGGACAAAAAGCAAATACTCCAATTATGTGGAGAGACTGGGATTATTCTCCTTACAGCAAAGGAGGTTAGGAGAAGACTTGAGCATTTCAAACTTTATGAACACTTTGGAAGAATAAATAAATTCTTTCCCAGTGGCAGAAAGGCTTGTAGAAGTCACAGATTGCTTTGCCAGATTCTGGTCCAGGCACTGAAAACAAACAATGTACCCACCAGCACACCCCGCCTCGCATTATCAAGATGAGATCATGCAAGAAAAGCAGCATTCCTTGAAATTAGCAGCATTGTCAAATCATCATCACACCACAATTAGCCCCTTGTGCACCTCCCCATCTATATCTTCAGCAGAACCTTATAAAACTGACCTTCAACACATAAAAGGACAAGGATAACAGACGTAGTAGGAACTGCAGATGCTGGAGAATCCGAGACAACAAGGTGCAGGGCTGGATGAACACAGCAGGCCAAGCAGCATCAT